CTCCAATCCTGATGCCATGTTTTTTCTTCATTTAACCCAGTAAGTGCTACAAGCAAAGTTGTGCTATCCATATTTGGAGGCTGTTAATGATTCTACTGATGCCACTTTTTTTTTTCCATAGGTGTGCAGTTCAGCTACTTGGTTTATTTGCTCAGTATACAGACTGAATAAGCACGGTGAACGAAACAACCCTGACGCACACCCTTCCTGATTTTAAGCCAGTGTTTCCTTGTCCTGTTTGAATGGCGGCCTCCTGGTCTGTGTACAGCTTCTGCAAAAGCAGTGACAGGTCTGGAATTCACTCTCTTCACAATGTCACCCACAATTTTTCATGATCCCCAAGTCCAATGCCTTTACATAGTCAATAAAACGAAAGCAAACATCTTTCTGGTATTCTTACTTTCAGCCAACATCCATCTGGTATCAACAATGATATCCCCAGTTCTACATCAGCTTCTAAATCTGACTTGAATCACAGAAATAGCATTATTTTATATACAAAATATTAAAATGTGAAACCAATGTTTCTCAACATATCCTCCCTCTAGGTCTACACATTTCTGAAGGTGATGTTTCCATGTCTGTAACCCTGGTATCTTAGCATGGTGCTGTAGGATAAAGCACTGGACCACAAGGTCGGCTTGAACAAGTTTGGCAGTTCAAACTCACTAGCTGCTCCTTGGAAACCCTACACAGGGGTTGTTATGAATTGGAACAGACACGACAGCACTTAACAACAAGCCTGGTGTGGCACTACAGGACGAGTTCAACCACCAAGTTGCTTTGAACCACAAGATTGGTGGTTCAAATCCACCAGCTGCTCTTGGAAAACCCCCATATAGGGCCGCTATGAGTCGGAACCAACTCAACAGCACAAACAATAACAATCCTTCCCTTTATTTTACATCAGAACGACAGTTTGGGTATACTTCAGGGATGATCCTTTGAGTTCAGGAATCCAAAAGACAACTGAAATGGCAAGATTGGGGCTGAAGGGTAGATGCTGTAGAGTTTCCAAATCCAATTCTCATACAGCAGTCCTTGCTACCCTCCAAGAATGGGCAGGTGCGCTGTTGTGATGGAGCCAAATTTCTTAGCACAACTCTCCTGGCCTTTCTTTCACTACCACAAGTTTCCGTTTTCTGTTAAAACTTCTAAATAAGCCCTTGTGATTGTTCGGTGTCCTTTCAGAAAATCTGTCAAGAAGACTCCTTTAAGATCCCAAAAAAACAGTTACTATCACCTTCTGAAAAGAGCTCTGGTAGTGTAGTGGTTATGACTCAGGCTGCGAACCGCAAGGTCAGCAGTTTGAAACTACCAGCTGTTCCGTGGGAGAAAAATGAGGCTTTCTGCTCCTGTAAAGATTTACAGCCTCGGAATCGCTGTACAGGGTCATGAGTCGAAACTGACTCCACGGCACATAACCACCACCACCACCATCACGTTCTGAACGGATCTCGTCCTTGAATGTACTAGCCCAACAGATGCCCTCAGGAGCCACTAATTTGATTGGACCCTTTTTTGAAGGCATCCTAATGAGACTAAGACAGTGTATTCCTGGCAGAACTTATCTGCAGCCATCCACTGATTACAGAGGCTTGTTTAAACACATTGTGTTTGGGATAAACCTATGTAATATTGCTTCGTGGCTCACTTTCACCATTCTACCACTGTAGCTTTTGTTAGGTGCCGTTGAGTCCGTTCCGACTCATAGTGACCCTGTATAGGGTTTCCAAGGAGCAGTTGGTTGGGTTTGAACTGCTAATATTGTGGCTCAAATCAACCTTGTGGTTAGTGCCATACCAAAATGTTATCATGGAGGGCTTCAAAAAGTTAGTGGAAAAAAATGAAATTGAAATATAATGGAATGTTTCCACAAAGGTTTTATAACCCCCTTGTATGTTTAGCAAAATGCAAAAGCACTAAATCATAATTAAAAAAAAAAAAATTTTCATGTGAAATTCACAAAATAAAACAGAATTGCATTTCTGAATGTTAAAATAATTTAATTTTCCCTGACATTTCTGTCCATGAGGTCAACAGAAACCAAGAGTGCACAATTTGATAGTTACCTGTTTTGAAACATTCAAGTCAATTAAAATGGCAAGAGCAAAATTCAGTTAATCACTAGTGAAATGTTTAAAAATATATATATTAAACAACAAAAACATGTTTTTACAAGATAAAAAATAATCTTCCACAATGCAACAAATGGCGTATCACTGAAATTTTAACTCTTTAGATGGTTCCAGTTGAGTTTTTGGTTTTGTAATCTAGAGACAGTCATAAAGAACACACGGTGAAAGAATTTCTATCTGTTTCTACGCTTTTCTTTCTTGCTTCGACTATTCGCTACACTGTTTAAAGATGATGATGAGGATAGCGCTCTTGCATGACCTGTGGCTTTTAGGTGTTCAAAAAGTTTATTCCGGGATGGAAATTCATCATGGCAGGTTGAACAGCTGATAAGAACATCACCCTGAGAAAGAAAAGATTTATAAATAAAAGTCTTGTTCTCTGAGAAGAGTGTTTTATACTGTCAATGCCAACTGAGATGAAACATCGAACAATTACAAAGTAAATATGTTTTCATAGAAGGACTGCTCCTAAGAAACTCAAAAAAGTACACATTGCTGGCAGTTAAATCTCATTAACCAACTCCATCTACTGTAAGAGTCTGGAGACAGACAATGATACCTGCCAGGGAGACGAAAGGAATCATTTGTGCTTCACAGTTAATCTTCAGAATCAGACACATATGTAGTTACTGTCAACAAGACTTTGGGTTTCAAAGTAATGGAAAAGTAACTGTTCTATGTAAAGTTCTGGCATACAGTCAATGAGCATCTTTAGAAAAAAATGGTAGTAACCCATCTATATGTTCTAAGGTGGCCAAGGGAAAGTTAAGATACTCAGAACTTTTCAGTAGCTTCCAGGTAGACACTTAAATCTTTAGACTATTATATTGCTTAAACAACAGGATTCCACTAAACGATCTGATCATGATTTTGACCTACCATTGTTTGTGGTTCACCAGGCACTTTGACAGTTTTTTTCATATCTTTGGCTTTCTTTCCTTTGGGTTTAGAAATACTGAAAAATAAATGAAAGTCACTCAGCACAATCTAATTTTAGCACACACACACCCCCTTTGAGTCACTCATTTGAGCAAGATGCACTTTAAAGGCTAATTCATTACTTTTCATGACCTATTTCATTAATCTTCATAATTCATGCGAACAGCTCTAAAGAGCAATTTGAGAGATCAAATTTGGCTCAAGAATGAACTCATTAACTTACAAAAATGAGAAACAAGTTAAGCAAGACCCCCTATAGAAGAACTCTGAACACACTTTCACTGTGTTTTGTAAAAAGCAAAGCACTTTATCAGCATTTACTGAAGCACACTATCTTCACACCCAACCAGTTGTTGTTGTTATTAAGTGTCAAGTCAGTTCCAACTAATAGCGACACTGTATAGGGTTTCTGAGGAGCAGATGGTGGGTTTGAACTTCTGACCTTGTGGCTGGCAGTCCAGTGCTGATCCTACAGTGCCACACCAGGAATCCCAACCAGTAGTAGTCACACAAAACTCTGCACCATTATGTGTGTTTTCCCCAAAGCACAACTTCCTGAATCTGATCCAGCTCATGTTAAACATTTCATATCAGAAAGGAGCACAGCCTCACGGGGCGGTGGGGGAGCATACAGAAGCAGCTTCACTCTGTGAAGCATGGATTACTGATCCCAGCACAAAAGAGCAACCACAAGGTGGTAAGGGAACCAAAAGTGAATCAGCATTCTCTCTAATGTTACTGAAAAGGCAGTGAGCACATTCCTCTTGCATTCTCTTCCCAGTACGCTTCACTGCATATTGTTGTTGTCAGTTTCAACTCAAAACACCCCTATCTGCAACAGAACCAAGCACTGTCCCATGTAACGCCACCCTCGCAGTTGTTGCTTTGAGTCACTGTGTCAATTCAACACCTTGAAGGTCTCCCTCTTTCTCGCTGACCCTCTACTTTACCAAGCATGATGTCCTTCTACAGGAACAGATCCTTCCTGATAGTATGTCCAAAGTACATGACAGTTTCGTGATAAAAGAACAATCTATGATTGTTATGGGTGGACCAGAGGGTAGACACAGGTTAACATGGTTGATTGTTGTTGTTCTTGTGAAGTGCCATTGAGTTGGTTCCATAGGACAGGCAATATACAAGAGGGAGGTTAGCTGAGGAAAGATGAAGGTAGCACGGGACACAGGGAGGAAAGCAATAGATAAAGTGAATAGAAGTAAATACTGTGAACTGTTGTAGATGGAGGGGACTGAAACCATGTAGTAGAGCAAAGTACATGACTGTTGAATGTCAAATGATGATTTGCTCCGCAAACTTTCATTCAGTTCACACAAAAAAAAGAAGTTTAAAAAAAAAGAGGGGAGGGGGAAGGAAATAATCAGCAACTTTGACTCACCTTTTCGTTTCACTTGCTAGATCTTCACACTGTTTGGTAGCCTCTGTGACACTGATGTTTTCTTGGGGACTGTCTCCCAATTCTTTGGCACTGTCTTGATTTAAGTTGGTATCTTCTGGATCAATTTTTTCTCCCCCAGTTCCATTTTCATTGAAATTGTCATCATAACTCTAGGTAACAAAACATGGATGCCATTTAAAAAATATTATCATAACACTGCCTTCTTTTTCATGCTACACTGCCAAATCATGTAAATATTGTTATTAAGTGCTGTCTGGTAGTGTAGTGGTTACGAATCGGGCTGCTAACCTCAGGGTCAGCAGTTCAAAACTACCAGCTGTTCCACGGGAGAAAGATGAGGCTTCCTGCTCCTGTAAAGATTTACAGCCTTGGAAACCCTGTACAGGGTCGCTGTGAGTTGGAACCGACTCCATGGCACATTAACAACAAGGGCACTTTCAAGGAGCCGTTGGGATGAAGCAATTGAAGTGATTAGCAAAAGGCCAGTGGTTCAAACTCACCAACCGCTCAGTGTGAGAAACATGAGACAGTTGTCTTCCATAAAAATTAGTCTTGGAAAGCCTACAGGAGAATTCTACTTTTCTACAGAGTCACTGTGAGTCAGAACCGACTGGCCAGAAGTGGCTTTTGAACCTCACTGTCAACCTAAACCAATGCTGAAAATACAGTAAGAAACCAGAACATTAGGAGCCATATCATTTCATCTACATTGGTGGTATTTGTTCTGATGCTTCCTTCTCCAGTTGTGTCAGTTAAATTAAATCATTTTCTTGTTGCTGTTAAGTTGGTTCTGACTGATAGTGACCCTGTATAGGATTTCTAAGGAGTGAGCAGCTGGTAAGTTTGAGCATATGACCTTGTGAATCAAATTGACCTTCTGGTCCTGTGTTTATCCTACAGCTCTACACCAGGACTCTAATAATGTAAATAATAAAATAGTAATCACCACACACTTTGGCAGGGGTATATCTTAAGAAAATAAAAATGAGAAGCACACACTCATTTAGAATATGGATGCTTATTACAGAAATATTACATTATGAAAAACTGCAAACAATCCAAATGTTCAATAAGTGAATGTTTTTGAGTATATGAATGAACTGTATAAAGATCTTAAAACCATGCTTCCAAAGATACCCAATTATGTGGAAAATGCTTACAACACATTAGCAAAAAAAGAAAAAGAAAATGATACATACAGCCGGATCATTATCTAAGGTTTGAGCCCACCCTCTGCTCCTTAGGAGAAAGATCTTTTTGCTTCAGTGAAGATTTAAATCTCCAGAAACTAGATACAGGGTCGCTATGAATTGGAACCAACTTGAAGGCACTTAACAGTAACAGAGACAGAAGGGAGTCCTAATGTGATGCTCTAGGATAAGCACTGAATAGCTAACTGGTTGGTTGGCAGTTCAAATTCACCAGCCACTCCTTGGAAACCCAACAGGGGTCACTGAGACAGAACCAACTTGACAGCATTGAACAGAACTGTTGCTGCTGTTATGTGCCATTGAGTTGGTTGACTCACAGCAATCTTGTGTAGGGTTTCCAAGTCTTTACTTCTGTTCTTTACAGGAACAGAAGTCTTATCTTTCTCCCTTTAAGTGGTTAGTGGGTTTGAACTGTTGACCCTGTAGTTAACAGACCAGTGTTTATCCTACAGTGTCACTATAACTCCTAAAGACAGAATGAGGAATCATATTTATAGTTTTATTTTCCAAATGATCTAAATAAGCCATCATTACATTTAGTCCTGTTGTGACACTACAGTGGAAGTACTGGACCAAAGATCCAAGGTTCAAACCCACCAGCCACTTCTCGAAAACACTATACAGAGTTACTACAAGTTGGAACCACCTTGGCAGCACTTAACAGCAAGAACTTTTAATCAGGAGAAAAAACAATAGAAAAGAGACATTGTAAAACAAAGAGCATGTCTTCATCAAATCCAGCTGGTTTTGTTCTGGTAATATTGTGCTGTATTTGCAAGTGTTCTCTTCCTTCAACTATCCGAAACTAAGAGGCAGTCAGATATCATGACATGTCACCATGTCATCTCCTAAGAACAAAAATATTCTCCTATATATCCACAACATCCTTTTCAGACTCAAGAATTTAAAACGGACACTGTTGTTGTTGAGTGCCATCAAATCAGATCCAACTCACAGTATTGTTGCTGTTAGGTGCCATTGAGTCACTTCCAACTCACAGCAACTCTATGAACAACAGAACAAGAGGATGTCCTGTCCTGCATCATCCTCACAATTGGTAACGCTTAAGCCCATTGCTGCTGCCACCACGCCAATCCATCTGGTTGGGGATCTTCCTCTTTTTTACTGATGCTTCACTTTACAAATCATACTGTCCTTCTCAAGGGACTGGTCCTTCCTGATAACATGTCTGCAGTATGAGAGATAGAAGTATCACCATCCTGGCTTTGAGGAAGCATTCTGGCTATACTTCTTCCAAGACAGATTTGTTTGTTCTTCTGGTAGCACATGATACTTTCAATATTCTTCTCCAATACCACAAATCAGATGTAATTTTTTAGTGTCTTCCTTAGTCACTGTCCAACTTTCACATGCATTTCAGGCTACTGAAAATATCATGGCATGGGGCAAGCACATCTTAGTCCTCAAGCTGATATCTTTGCACTTCAACACTTGAAAGAGGTATTGTGCAGCAAATTTACCTAATGTGTCATTTGATTTCTTGGCTGCTGCTTGCATGACTGTCGATAGTGCAGACTTCCAAGTAAAATTAAGTTTTTGACCACTTTATTCTTTTTTTCATGTATCATGATATATTTATTGTTCAAGTGGTGAGGATCTCTGTTTTCTTTACACTGAAATGCAATCCATACTAAAGGCTGTGATCTTGTATATCTGCAGGTTACAGGTTATTAATAATCATCATGATGACATGTTTTTCTTAATAAAATCCACTTTATTGGATTATTTACTCAGTACACAGATTAAATAAGAACAGTGAAAGAAAATAAAGGTGTACACCTTTCTTGATTTTAAAACATTCATTATCCCCTTATTCTGTTCAAACAACTGCCTCTTGGTCTACATACAGGTTCCTGATAAGCACACAATGATGTCATCCCTAGCTCCATATCCTCTTCTGAATCCTGCCTGAATTTCTGGCAGGTCCCTGTTGATGTGTTGTAACTGTTTTTGAGTTATCGTCAGCAACATTTTACTTGCATGTGATGATAATGATATTGTTTGATGATTTCTAATACCACTGGTATTAGATGATTTCTAATACCACTGGTAACGTCTCTTTGGAATGGACACAAATAGGGATCTCTTCCAATTGGTTGGCCAGGTAGTTGTTTCCATATTCGCTGGCATAGATGAGTGAGCACCTCCAGTGCTGTATCAATTTGTTGAAAGATTTCAATTTGTATTGTCAGTTCCTTAAGGCTCATTTCGCCAATGCCTTCTCTGTAGCTTGGATGTCTTCCTTCATTACTATCAGTTCTTGATCAAATAATATCACCTGAAATAGGTGAACCATTTCTTTTTAGTACAGTGACTATATATCCCTCCCATCTTCTTTTGGTGCTTTCTGCGTCATTCGATATTTTGCCCATAGAATCGTACAATACTGGAAGTCTAGGTCTGAATTTTTTCCTCTGTTCTTTCAGCTTAAGAAATGCTGAGTGTGTTGTTTTCTTTTGGTTTTCTGACTCCAGATACTTGAACATTTCAATGTAATACTTGATTTTGCCTTCTGAGCTGCTCTTTGAAATTCTCTGTTCAGTTCTTTGACTTCCTCATTGCGTCCACATTTGCATGTCTATGATGCAGGAGTAAACTTCAGAGTTTCTTCTGACATTCATTTTGGTCTTTTCTTTCTTTCCTGTCTTTTTAATTACCTTTTGCTTTCTTCCT